GAACTAGAGGAGTCCGGGATGCAGTGGTACCTGGGAGGACCTCAGAACTCAGTCCTTGGTGCTTAGTGGTCCCTCCTGGAGGCGATCACATCTGGCTGCCTTCGCTCCTTTTCCAACCATAAAGGAAAGTCTTTCTTTCGTAAGTGTCAAGGCTACTTAACAGCAAAGACAGTGAGTTGAACAACAACCTGCTGACTGATTAAACCTCCAGAACTCTCCTGTGTGCAATGGCAAAATATAATTAAAGCTTCAATGCTATTAAATTAAGAAGAAAATACTGATGATCCACCCCCACTCCCACCCCTGGCCCCAAGTAGCAGTTGAATCAAATTTGTAAGCATCCACCGAGGTGTCATTGGATACTCAAGCCAAACTCAGTTTTCCCCACCAGAGGACTAGGAGGCTGTTCCAGAGTTGCCAGCTCCATCTCTGGGCAGCACAGGGCAGAGCTGGGTCTTTTGCCTGACTGTACCATTAAGGTTTCCCTCGTATGGGCAGAAAACTTATTAACTTGCCAATGAAAAAATACTTAAATGTCATTAAAAAGTTTTGACTCTCACATAATTCTCCTTAATGATGCAAAAATCAGCTCTGGACTCAGGTTCTGAGATTGCATTCACAAAGAACCCTGTGCTGGAAGTTTCAAATTACCTAATTATCATATTTATTGCCAGATTCTGGTTTCTAATCCCTAATGACTTTGTCAGATATATTTCTGTGCTGTTCCTTCTTTTCTTTGGCCGTGGGTACAGAGCTGGGCTTATTGCAGTCTGAATTGGAGAGGCTCTTGGACAATAGAAGGAAGCCTCGGGCAGGAATGGCCCAGTGAGGAACACCCTGGCAGAGCCAGACAGAGAGGGGAAACTGTGGCCGGCTTCCAAGGAATCATTACAGCCTTGGAGACACCATATTGTAGTCGTAATGGATATAAATTGAGCTACATACATAAGCTGGCTTCTCTCCTGCTAAAAGGACCCAAGCCAGGAGTCCCCTTGAATTCTATTTGGATCCAGAGAGGAACTACAGTCCAGTGCCACGGCTCACTAGGCTAATCCTCCGCCTGCAGTGCCGCACCCCAGGTTCTAGTCCCAGTTGGGGCGTCAGATTCTGTCCCAGTTGCTCCTCTTCCAGTCTGGCTCTCTGCTGTGGCCTGGGAGTGCAGTGCAGGATGGCCCAAGTGCTTGGACCTTGCACCTGCATGGGAGACCAGGAGAAGCACCTGGCTCCTGGCTTCGGATCAGCGTGGTGTGCAGGCCGCAGCGGCCATTGAGGGGTGAACCAACGGAATAGGAAGACCTTTCTCTCTGTCACTCTCTCTCTCTCACTATCCACTCTGCCTGTCCCCCCCCAAAAAAAAAATCGGAGAGGAACTACAAAAAATTCCTCATCCTGAAGATGGAGAAGACAAATTAAATGCTAATCCTCCTTAGAGGTTTCCTGCTTCTATCCAAAGGATAAAATGACTGGGATTCTGAAGCTTTTTAGAGAGCCATGGCATCATTCACAGATGCTGCACTGTAGTTTTAGACAGTTCGCTGGGCACAGCAGAATAGTTCTTGTTTCTTTGTTTTTGCTTTTGCTGTTTGAAGCGGTTGGGTACTATTAAAAAATCAAATTCTCACTTTAACTTCTTTCAAATATGCTCTAATGTTATCTGATGCTCTGAAAAAATGCTCTGAGCCACACTTGATATAGCAGCCCCCCAGCCTATTTTCTTTTGCTGCATCTCATTAAGTAAAGATAAAAGGAAGCAAAAACACAGACACAACTAAGCAAAATAAAATTGAAAATCAATTCCTTGGAAATTCTTTCTCTTTTAGAGATCAGACATGGAATCTGGAAAGGCTCTGTGTTTACACACTGATAATGGTTGGACCATTTTAAAATCTGCTTTAGAATTAAGAAATTAGCAGTTTTTTTCCTGTAGATTATTGCAATATTTTCATATAGCCCTTTTTCCTCTTCCTAGATTATAGACTATTTTCCTTTAATGCCTGGCAGGTCTTCCTATATCCTTTTAAATTAGGAGATTCTTGGCTATTTTCTCTCCAAATTCTAAGGTTGCTATATTTTCTTCTCTCATTCTAGATTAAACACCATTTTCTTCCATATATAGCTTTTGTTTGTTCAAGAGACCCAAGTGGCATATTCCCAAATAGGATCTTCACTTAGCACTTAACCATCCTTGGCAAGGAGGCTGTTTGTTTGCATGAGTCAAAGAGATTTGCTTCCTGGAATATTCTGCAATAACACAACAAGAAAGCATGCCTAATAGGTAAAGGGACAGACAGAAACAGAGCTGGGTGTTCTTCGATATGGCCAATTACAGCAGTAAACAACCACATGCCTGATGATGATGTTTTAAGCCACAGAAGTTAAGATGTAGCTTTTGTGATTAGAAGATGAAGGGAGGAAGGTTAACATTTACTGAGCAGAGAAAAGGACCAAGGATTGAGTTGCATGCTTTACCAGAGTTTTCTTATTTATCCATCACAAGAAACCTATGAAGTATACGTCATTGAAGCCAGAGTTGTGGTTCAGCAGGCTAAGCCTCTGTTTGTGAAGCCATCATCCTATATCAGAGTGCTGGACTGAATCCTGGCTACTCACTGCCAATCCAGCTTTATTTGGGGTGTGAATGAGGGGATGAAAAATTTCTCTCTCTCTCTCTCTCTCTCTGCGTGTGTGTATGTGTATGTGTGTGTGTGTGTGTGTGCATTGCTCTGCTTTTCAAATAAATTAAACTTTTTTTTTTTTAAAAAAGGTAGGTCTTTTGTCTAAATAAGATTGGAGTAGGCGAACTCAAAAGGTTTCCATAGCCTTGGCAACTCATGGCAAGAGCCTAGGGTGATTACTGACGCCATAAACAAGAGTGTCAATTTGTTAAGTCAACAGCAAGAGTCACTGTGCACTTACTCCTCATGTAGGATTTTTTCCTTAATGTGTTGTACAATGTGAATTAATGATATAACTAGGGCAGAAAATTTCCTTAAATTGCTAACACTGGACCCTACCCACTATGTATTTGCCCCTGTATTGCTTCCATTTGATGGTTCCCATATGTGTCCTTGGTAACGAAAGAGTTTCCTTGAGTTTAGTGGGCTGTCATAGCAAATTATCAAACAAGAGGAAGGGGATGAGGAGACCCCAGAGTTATTCCCAATCAGAAATCCAGGGATTTGTAGCTGGCACCTGAAGGGACAATATTGTGAGAATGAGAGTCCCTAGTTCACAGGATCTGTGCTAACTCCAGTTAGTGTCAGAATTGAATTAAATTTAATTGCATCCAGCTGTGTCTGGTGCACTGAAGAATTGCTTGATGGTCTAGGAAAATAACCAGAAACTCATGGATACACAGAGTCAGTCACTTATTTATTAAGTACCTGTGGTTGGCCAGACATTCTGTCAGGGTCTCTGTACAAATTGAGTCACCCTTGTCTTTGAGGGACTTACTGGTTTAATGGGGGTTGGGGTGGGGGTAAAGTGTAGAAGGTGACAAAAGATAAATCCTGAAATGCCAAGAACTGCTGCAGAGATAGGAATCAAATGTTGATGAAGCTGAGAGCAAAGCCTGGAGTCACCGAGAGATCAAGGAGCTCGCTCTCCCCTCCTTTCCCCAGATAGAAACTACAGAGAACAAGGGCCTTTGGCTAAGAGTTTAATTGAATCTTTGCTAGGGCAGCAATCTCACTGATTTTCTTCCAGTAATGAAGGAAGCAGCTCTTGCCACGGGCTCTGTTCTTTTTCCCTGCAAGTTCCAAAAGGCCCCATTTGGAAGGAGGGAAGTTAAATAAAGGACTAAACTCCACCCTGCAGGATGTGATTTACAAACACAATGGGTAGGGACAAACTTTGTGGATTGTGAAACACTTCCAAAAGGAGTTTCTTGCTGCTTATGATTGAGACTAATCTTTCCTCAAATTGGTCGTGGGGAGTGGCATATTGGGAGTTCTTTGCTAACTAATATGTCTACATTGTCACTGGTAGGAAATTGCTAAGGCATGAGATTTGAAGGATGTGAGAATGCTTAGACTGCCTGAGGAAATCTTCCCAGTCCTGTGAACTATCAATGGCACACCATGACCATGATGGTGCTCCCTGAAGCCATTTCAGACACTCCACAGTGTCATCTTTCCACACCACTTCTCCAATTCACTGACAGTAACAGGGGATCCAATAATTCACTTTAGTTCTGACACTAACCACCCAGAATTAGTGCAGACTGCATTGGTCAAGAGCTCGGTTCAACAGGGCTGCCCCACCCTTCCAAAATGAACTGAGAATGAGATTCCTGGATTGTCTACACCTCCTCCTGGCCAACTATATAGTCACGGTTACCACATTCCAATGTGCTGAAATGTCTCAGAGAACTCAGAAAACCACCAGATTTATGTTGAGCTCTTTAGCATATAGAATACACTCAATAGCAGCCATATGGAAAAGCTGCACAGGGTGAGGACTGTAAGGGGGTGGCACAGAGCTTCCATGCCATCTCGGGGTGCACCATCTTCCCAGCACAGTCATGGTTTCCCAACTTGGGACCTCTCTGAGTCTTCTTATCTAAATGTTTCTGTAATCCAATATGTAGCCCTGCCTTCCCTCCTTCACCATCATCAGGATATGGAACTGAAAGTTCTCAATCTCTACTCTTATGTTGGTTTTTCTGGGGATCAACTTCGTAATGAAGCTATGGAAGGTCCTCACCCTGAATTGCCTCATCAGTATAAACTCAGTGTGGCTGAAAAGGGCTTATGATGAGTAACCAGACATTCCTACCCCTTAGAAAATTCCAAGCATTTTGGGAGCTCCATGCCAGAAACTGGAATAAAGACCCAATGGATGTTTTATTATACCTTGATTGTAGAGGACAGAGGTTTAACCCAGGTGCCTGATTCTTGAGTCCATCTTATGACCCCCCACATAATTTCTCATGTATCTGTCCCTTGTCATTAATGTAATCTCAGGATCAGCTCAAACTGGTCCTGCTCTGTCTGAAACAGGTAGATTGGAGCTCTCCCAGCCAATGAAGACCAGCTTGCATGAGCCCCGGAGGGCACTCCGAATTCCAGTGAGTACATTGGATAAGATGGCACTGGGCTACTGGGATGGAGCTGAAAGTCTGGAGCATACAGTAAGTGACTGGAGGAGTCTCAGGCAAAAATCTGGCATGAGATCCTGAAAGCTACACATTTCTCCACTGCACTCCCTGGCCACAGCAGAGAGCTGGCCTGGAAGAGGGGCAACCGGGACAGAATCCGGCGCCCCGACCAGGACTAGAACCCAGTGTGCTGGCACCGCAAGGCGGAGGATTAGCCTAGTGAGCCATGGCGCCGGCCTCACATTTCTGTTCTTCCTAACTGGATGTAAGGAGCACCACAAATTAAGCATCAGTCATTATGGAATGGAAACCCCTAGGGTTAGGGGAGCATTTACATGAGACAGGTTTCATTGTTGGCAAAGATCATTAACAGAAGTGATTGGTCTCTTGCCAACAGCTGCAACAGAATCCAAACTGCACATCATATGACCTGGGTACATGCAAAGCAAGAAGCCTTTGGCCAAAATAATATCTGGAAACAGTGTTTTTTTTTTTTTTTTTCCTTGTGGAACCAAGAAAACCAAACCATTAATGGAATCTAAATGCTGGAACCCTTTCAGAAGCAAGGGGTCCATTGACCAGGAATATCTGATGTTAAAGACCCCATTCAGTTCTTGCCTCACCAGGACTTTCTCATACCAGCTTGTTCTCCCTGACACACAAAATCTGCCCTAGACTTGAGAGTAGGGAGACAGATTTGTGTCTTGCCTCTTGTTTGTTTCTTGGTCAACCTCACAATAAAGCCTTTCTTTGCTTAATAGCCAGGCCATAATATTGGCTTCTTTGCATGTCATACTATGAGCCTCTGCTTGATAACATTAGTACAAATGTTTTAAAGAAGATCCCTAACCCAGATAAATAGTGGAGAAAGTCTACTGGAAGAATGATGGCCCATACGTAGGTCCATAGCTGCCATCTTGTGATTCATAGTCCAGGAAGGGGATGTGGAGAACAAATAACAGAGATGCATATGGTAAGGTCTGCCATGAATACTGTTTTAGGTTGTACACTGCAGAGGGCCATCCAACCACAGGGAAGTGGAGAACAGAGAGAAATGAAACACCAGTCTGTACTTTGCTTGCCCAAGAGAGTACCCTGGTTCAAGGGTATGTTAGCTTGAAAAAAGAATCTTCTAATCCCCTCAAAGTCACCATTTGGATAAACTGTGTTATCCACAGACATAAGCATTGATTATGAAGATTATTCAATGATATTCATATAGAAAATACTTTCACCAAATTAAGTGAAAATTATAGCATGCAAAATTGATGAGTAATATGAATATTGCTATATTACGATTGAGACTCTATAAGAAAAGCATGGGGTTTCCTAAAAAACTAGAACTTGTAAGCAAAGACATCACAAAGGAGTTTAAAATGAAAGCAAAGATAGTTTTTATGCAGATGCCAAATAGATTTGCAAATCAGGAGATACAGATTCAGTTAGAAACCACTAAGGTAGGGAGGATATGTCTTTTTTAAGGGAAAGGCAGGAACAATGAGATAAGAAGTAATTTGTTTTGAACAATTTTCAATTGGCTCTGTTAGTGATTCGGGTTGCTTTGAATAAATTTGGAGTGTGCTGAGGATCTGTTCATACATGAAGCAAAACGTGACTGTGTTGCTAGGGGGCTATTAGGAGGGAGTTTTCAGTATGCAGAAAGTCTTTGGAGATAATCAGTAAGTCAGCAGAAGTCCCAGGATTGGAGACTCTTTCACTATAGGTTCTGGGAAGCACATCCTTTCCTAACAGCAGTCTTCATTTGGAGGTTAAAGACTGAGGAACTTGCGTTGCACAGGTGAACTGCCACCTGTCCAAGGGGGCCACTGAGGCTCACAGAGAAACTGTTCTCTCTTTCAAACAAACTGCAGCCATCCTAATTTTCATTTCTACAAAATAGAACTGTCACATGATCCATCAGTTCTATAATTGGATATATATCCAAAGGAAAGGAAAACTGTATGTCAAATAGATAGTTGTGAGAGGGACACTCTGGATCTATGTGGAGGCTATGGATGTGCACAGCTTAGGACCCCAGCAGCCAAGAGCCTCAGCACCAGCTTTGGAGGGTGAGGTGAGAACAGACTGCAGTAGCCCAAGCCACTGGTGATAAAGCTGTGGGAAGAGTGTGGCTTGAGCATGGCTTGGAGTGCTGTGGGGAACAGTATACCTGACAATCTAGAGGAAAAGGGAGAGTCACATCTCCTTTCCAGCATCCTGTAACTAGCCGAGAGCAGGGTGGTGCCATTTTGGACATACAGAACTGTTGTTCCAGCTGCACATCCAGCAACCAGCCAAGAGGAAAAGCCTGACTCTGGCTGGGAGAATTGACAGGTGGCTGGTTGCTTGTGACTGTGGGAGCTTTGTGTGCTGGGACTGTGAAAGTACTGTGGATGCCTGGGAGGGTGTATGGTGTGGCTGGTTCTTCAGTCAGTCACTCTGGGTGGCTCCACATGCTTGGGGCTCCTTGATTCCCTGGTGAAGATCACTGGTTCGGGACCCATGCTCATACTAAAGACTGTACCAATCCTTTGTGTGGTTCTTTTGGCAGTGTGAATGAATATTGCACCTACTGGGGCTAGTGACCAGGTGTTGGTCTCCTTGGATGAAAAGAGTTGAGTGTGAGACTATGCCAAAAAACCAACCCACTGATTTAAAAAAAAGAGAGAGAGGGATTTCCCGTACTCAGCTTGGGTATCACTTTGGACACTCCCCTTACCCTGGAGCACTGAACAGATCTCCCTGGCCACACTTAAAGTATTCACTGAAAGAGAAGACACTCTATTTTTTCTGTTTCATATTTTATTTAATTCAAACAAATTTCATGTATTTCACATATAGAGATTTAGGAACATAGTGACACTTCCCACCCTCTCATCCCTCCTGCCCGTGCTCCCACCCTTTGAGAAGACACTTTATTAATCCACAGAGGCATAGTCCAAAGATAAAAGCTATTAGAGTAGAAAAAATTATCTCCACAAATGCCTAGAAATAAACACAGCAATTCAAGAAACAAGAATAAGGAAGACAACATAACACCTCCAAAGGAACCAACAACACTTCAATACTAGAGTGTGAAAATGAAAAGATTAAAGAAATCCAGAAACAGAATTAAAAAAATTGATAGTAAGATTACTTAGATGTAATCAGAAACAAATCCATGAATTCAACAAATCCATATATGACATGAATGAAAATTTTTCCCATGAAATTGAGATTTTAAAGAGAAATCAAAACAAAATATTGGGGGGCCAGTGCTGTGATGCAGCGGGTTAAAGCCCTGGCCTGAAGTGCTGGCATCCCATATGGGTGCCAGTTGTAGTCCTGACTACTCCCCTTCCAATCCAGCTCTCTGCTATGGCCTGGGAAAGCAGTAGAAGATGGCCCAAGTCCTTGGGCCCCTGAACTCACGTGGGAGACCTGGAAGCAGCTCCTGGCTCCTGGCTTTGGATCAGCACAGCTCTGGCTGTTGCAGCCAATTGGGGAGTGAACCAGCGGATGGAAGACCTCTCTCTCTGTCTCTACCTCTCTCTGTAACTGTCTTTCAAATAAATAAAACAAATCTTAAAAACCCCAAAATACTGGAAATGAAGAATTCAATAAATCAAATATAAAATGCAATTGAAAGCTTTAACAACAGACAGAGGCAGAAGAAAGAATATCCAAGTTAGAAGAGAAATGTCTGGAAATTTTACTGTCAGACCAAAAAAAAAAAAAAAAAAGAAAGAAAAAGAAATTAGAAAACTAAAAGAACAGTGTTGTTGGAGATTTATGGGATACTACCAAATCCAACATACGGGGCTTAGGAGTTTTTAGGATTTTCTGAATGTGTGGAAAGAGAGAGTGTATTAGAAGGCCTTTTCAGTGAAATAATTATAGAAAACTTCCCTAATTTGGAGAAAGAAAGGGATGTCAAAGTACAGGAAGCACATAGAACTCCTAATAGACATGACCAGAAAAGATCCTCTCCAAAACATATTGTTGTCAAACTCTCCACAGTAAAACATAAAGAAAAGATTCTTAAATGTGGAAGAGAGAAACACTAGATTACTTTCAGAAGATCTCCAATTTGACTCATAGTTGACTTCTCATCAGAAACCCTACAGGCTAAGAGAGAACAGGGAGATTTATTCCAAGTCTTGAGAGAAATACTATACCCTGCAAAGCTCTCACTTATGAACGAAGGTAAAATAAAGATCTTCCATAACAAACAGAAATTGAAAGATGCTTAATGATGTGCTACACACAGAAACATGGTCATTTCTATGAGACAGTAAAGGCAGAAAATCTCCCAGTATAAGTACAAAGGAAATACAAAGTAAACAATAGGGATATTTATGGAAAAATGGCAGGGCCAAATTATTAGTTAACAATATCACCTTGAATGTTAATGGCTTCAACTCTCTAATAAAAAGATACAGACTGGCTGAATGGATTAAAAAGCAAAACCCATCTATTTAATGCCTACAAGAAACACATCTTACCAACAAAGATGCATGCAGACTGAAAGTGAAAGGTTGGAAAAAGATATTCCATGCTAACAGAAACTAAAAAAGAGCTGATGTAGCCATCCTAATATTAGACAAAATAGACATTAACACAAAAACTGTCAAAAGAGACAAAGAAGGGCACTGTACAATGATTAAGGGATCAATTCAACTGGAAGATGTGACTATAAGGTACACACACCTAATTACAGGGCACCTGGATATTCAAAAGAAATGTTAAGGGACCTAAAGTGAAGCAAAGTCTTCCATACAATAGTAATAGGGGACCTCAATACCCCACTTTCACAGTGGAAAGACCAACCAGACAGAAAACCAGCAAGGAAACAACAGTTAATCAACACCATAGACCAAATAGACCTAATGGATATCTACAGAATTTTTCATCCTAAAGTTGCATACTATACATTCTTCTCATCAGTGCATGGAACTTACTCTAAGATAGACCACAGGCTAGGGCGTAAAGCAAATCTCAGGAAATTAAAAAAAAAATCCAAATCATATCTTACATTTTCTCTGACCATAATGAAATTAAACTGGGAGTCTTGTTAAACATAAGAGTGGGAATAAGAGAGGGAAGAGATGTATAATTTGGGACATGCTCAAGCTGACTTGCCCCAATTGGTAGAGTTAGAAACATACCAGAGGATTCCAATTCAATCCCATCAAGGTGGCATGTACCAATGCCGTCTCACTATTCCAAGTGATCAATTTCAGTTCACAATTGATCATAATGAAAGGACTAAGAGTCAAAGGGAGCACATAAACAAGTCTAGTACCTGCTAACACTAACCGATAGAATAAATAAAGGGGAGAGTGATCCAACATGGGAAGTGAGATACTCAGCAGACTCATAGAATGGCGGATGTCCTAAATAGCACTCTGGCCTCAGAATCAGCCCTAAAGGCATTCCGATCTGGCTGAAAAGCCCATGAGAGTATTTCAGGCATGGAAAGCCAAGACACTCTGGCAAAAAGATCTCTGTGAGTGAGATCCCAGTGGAAAGAACAGGTCTTCAAAGAAGGAGGTACCTTTCTCTGAAGGGAGGAGAGAACCTCCACTTTGACTATGACCTTGTCTAAACAAGATAAGAGTCGGAGAACTCAAGGGGCTTCCATAGCCTTGGCAACTCATGACTGGTGCATAGGGAGATTACTGATGCCATAAACAGGAGTGTCAATTGGTAAAGTCAACAACAGGAGTCACTGTGCACCTACTCCTCATGTAGGATCTCTGTCCTTAATGTGCTGTACATTGAGGCTTAATGCTATAACGAGTACTCAAACAGTATATTTCACTTTGTGTTTCTATGGGGGTGCAAACTGTTGAAAGCTTTACTTAATGTATACTAAACTGATCCTCTGTAAAAAAAAAAAAAGAAATTATCAACTCCCAACTTGACTCTCACTGGGATTAAACATGACAATAGGTCTGATCTGATTTCATCATCATTAAAAAAAAATCATCTATTATTTTTCACTTTATGTTTCTGTGTGGGAGCAAACTGTTGAAATCCTTACTTAATGTATACTAAGCTGATCTTCTGTATATTAAGATAATCGAAAATGAATCTTGATGTGAATGGAAGGGGAGAGGGAGTGGGAAAGGGGAGGGTTGTGGATGGGAGGGACGGTATGGGGGGGAAGCCATTGTAATCCATAAGCTGTACTTTGGAAATTTATATTCATTAAATAAAAGATAAAAAAAAAGAAATTAAACTGGGAGTCAACAATTCATGACTCTCTAGATTATATGCAAACACATGGAGACTGAACAACATGCTCCTGAATGAGCAGTGGACCATAGAAGAAATAAAAAAAAAACTGCTAAGGACTTTTTTTTATACTATTGTTGAGCTCTTTAGTTAGTATAGAGTTCATCTACTGTGTACAAAGTTAGTTGAAAATAGATCTTAGTAAAAAGTAAGAATGGAAATAGGAGAGGGAGGAGGAAGAAGAGTGGGAATGAGGGTGGGTACCATGGGAAAAATCACTATGTTCCTAAAGTTGTATCTATGAAATACATGCAGTTTGTACTCCTTAAATAAAAAGTGTCTGAGAAAAAAACAACACAGATATTTGCACTTCTGTGTTTTTATAGCGCTAATCACAATAACCAGGATATGGAATCTGGATGTCCATCAAAGGATGAGTGGATAAAGAAAATGTGGCAGATGTACACAATGGAATATCATTCTGCTATAAAAAGAATGAAGGTCTGTCATTTGTGGCAACATGAATGAGCTTGCAGGACATTATCTTAAGTGAAATGCTCAAGGTACAGAAAGACAAGTACCATATGTTCTCCCTCATAAGTGGAAGCCAAGAAATCGATATTACAGAAGTGAAGTGAAGAGTTGTATAAGACGGTTACCAGAGGATGAGGATGATAAGGGTAGGGGTCAGGGGAAAGGAGAGAGATGGTTAATTAGTACAGGGGTGCAGTGGGTAAGAAGATCATTTCTAATGCTCTATAGCTTAATAGGATAGCTATGGGTGACAACAATTAATTGTACATTTAAAAATTGTAGAGTGATTTTGACTACTCCTAGCACAAAGACATGATAAATATTGGAGCTTATGAACATATCAGTTATCTTGATCTCATTATATATTGTATACACATATTGAAATATCACATTTACTCCATAAATATGTACAATTATCCTGTGCCCATTAAAGATTTTTTATGCTTAGGAAAAATAAGATATGAAATGAAATTTTGGCTTGTTTCCCTTTTATATTCTTTCTAAAAATTTCAGTAAGATAGTTACATTGCTTTTATAATGAAAATAAATATTTTAATGCAAAAACCCAAGATGCTGTTTTAGTATTTAACTTTCTCAAAGACAAATTAAGTAAGAAATGCCTGCAACATGAATTCATGTTGCGCCAGAGTAGGCAGAGTCAAGATTACCGAGTACTCCCAAATGTGAGTGAAAGAAGTATGGTAAGATATGTACCATTTATTTTTTTAATTTTATTTTTTTTGACAGGTAGAGTGGATAGTGAGAGAGAGAGACAGAGAGAAAGGTCTTCCTTTTGCCCTTGGTTCACCCTCCAATGGCTGCTGCGGCCAGCGCACTGCGCTGATCCGATGGCAGGAGCCAGGTGTTTTTCCTGGTCTCCCATGGGGTGCAGGGCCCAAGCACCTGGGCCATCCTCCACTGCACTCCCTGGCCACAGCAGAGAGCTGGCCTGGAAGAGGGGCAACCGGGACAGAATCCGGCACCCTGACTGGGACTAGAACCCAGTGTGCCGGTGCTGCAAGGTGGAGGATTAGCCTAGTGAGCCGCAGCGCCGGCCATTGTACCATTTCTTTATCAACATTGACCAATTTCCCTCCTCCTTCATATATTTATTTTGACAATTGAAGATCTATTTGGCACACAAAATGACTCTTTTAAAATGACAATGCCTCCTCCATATGATAGTTTAGCCTGTAGACCCATACTGTGCATAAGCTTAATTAGATCAGCACCTACCAGCATCTCCACATGCAGTTTCTCGTTATCAGGGCTTCTACAGACCCAGGAGCCAGAGGGAGTTTTGCACACCACTTGCCTATTATTAGCCTTCTCCTGGTAGCTTCTGTTTTTGAGAAGGACTTGCTTGGAGGGCTTTGGGAGTTTCACCACTGAGCTTCAAAAGAAGTGCTGTAAAAATAATGACAAAGGTGATAGGGATGCTGATGCAGACACCGATCACTGTGAAAGTGGATGTTTATTACATGCAGGCACATGCTAAGTGCCTTATGTGTGCTATCTCATTTAGTCCTCAACATTCTTAGAACAGGAAGCATCATTTCCCCCACTTAATAGATGAGCAAACTTGCAAG